TGAAATTCATGTACGATCTCAATTTTAAATTCATCCTAGACTTTAAAATTAGACAGCTTAAAGTTAAAAGGAGAAAAAGTTGGGAGTAACTAAAAAGAGGCCACCATTACTAGGACTGGGATAAGAATCTGGAACCTGGCTCCTCAGATATGGGTTGTTAGTTAAGTCACAAGTCTTTACCAGATGTTGTTAGCCTAGTTTTATTTTTAAAAAATATTCTATAATTTAAAGTTATCATCAATTAAACCTACATTTCACTTCTACCCTCCCTACTCCTGTCCAAATAATGAGATTTTACTATCAGAGCCATTTAAAAAGTGTTCAAATTTATTTAAAGTAGAATTAAAAGGCAGTTAAAGAAAAAATAAACCTTTCATCTGTATTTCTAAGTATATCAAAGATAGCCAAGCTAAAGTTCAAAAGGCATATTAGGCTTTATATTTAAAAGTGCTCTTTTAGTTAATAGCAAGGCATGATGTTTGTCATTACAGGAAACAAGAGAAAGAGGTTAATGCCAGATTGAATTAGCAATATACAGTCTCCTTATCACAAGTAAAGTGGTGGGCTTTTACTTAAGTGGAAAGATGCTGATGTGCCACAAGCAAGTCAAAGGAAGAGCTGTTGACAGGCTTTGAGTAGTTAATAATCAATCTTGACTTCCAAGCTAAGTCAAGATTTAATATTGAGATTCAAACTGCTTCCTGACTACTGACCATGTGAACCATGTTTGGTCAAAGACACAGAGAATCAAGGCAGAATGAGATTAAAAGTGAGCATTGGGTTCACCAGTGCCTTAACCAAGTGAGAACACCTATAGACTTCTCTTGCTGGAAAGATTACTAAGGATCTGCATTAGGGTCTGTTTCTAGAAAAGTTCCTGGGCAGTTCAACAAATTAGAGGAGAATGAAGTCTGAGATGGATTTTACAGTCCAAGATGGACTAGTAGGCATTAAAAATGCTTACTAATCAACTAGCAAGATCAACTCACACTGAAAACTTTGGCATAAGAGGAATTGATCTTGTCTTATAAAAAAGTTTCTCTCGGGCTTCCCTGGTGGTGCAGTGGTTGAGAGTCCACCTGCCGATGCAGGGGACACGGGTTCGTGCCCCGGTCTGGGAGGATCCCACATGCCGTGGAGCGGTTGGGCCCGTGAGCCATGGCCGCTGAGCCTGCGCGTCCGGAGCCTGTGCTCCGCAACGGGAGAGGCCACAACAGTGAGAGGCCCGTGTACAGGAAAGAAAAAAAAAAAAAAAAGTTTCTCTCTATAGAATAGAAAGGAAGTCAATTATTAGAGGAAGGTACAAATACTAATTATTTGCACAGTATTTTGGTACAAAATGAAAACTGACAGTATGAAGTAATAGATTGGAGCCCTGGATCTCTCTCCCATCCCCCAGCTGTAGTTTCATTTCTGACTTTCTTATATTACAGTTGAGTTTCATTACTGGCTCCTGACCACTCTGGGCTACCTTCCTCCCAGACTTAATAGCCTAGGTAATAGTAGTCGGTAAATAACTTTAGAGATTTTAGCACCATGAACCATGAGGCATATTAATGTATTTGATCATACATGCATATAGCGTCTTAGTGTCAAGGACAGGCCATCAGTATTAAGAAGTTTAAGCATCTATCTCCTAATCCTAGAAGTGGACAAGTAATTCTAATGGTGAATTATAAGTGCCCCCCCCATCAATCTCCTTAAAGTGCATTTATTAGGTCCTTGAAGTATATCACCTATGGGTTGAAAGTATATGAAATGTAGGTACTCGTTTACTTTTAAGTACTGTAAAGTCACAGAAAAAAAGGCAACTTAGAGCCAAGCTCAGAATATGAAATCTCTCCTACAAGATTAGACTGTCTTTTGTTATTTCTTTCTTTCATCTTAATTTTATAAATATATGCATGAGCACATTTTAAAAAATTTGATTAGACTAGTTTTGATTTGACATAAGCAACACTTGATTAGCGCAGTTTTGATTTGACATAAGTAACAATCCAAAAGGTGTAAAATATTTTTGTTTACTACAAACCTGTGGACTCAAAACTACCCTAAAAATTCCAAGAAAATTTTTATCTAGCCTCTTAGCTGAAAAAAGAATAGAAGGCTTTAGAGCAAACTCAGCAATTAGAAAGCTAAGGAACCAAGTAACAGCAACATTACCATACTACAAAAAAGTTATACCAAAAATAGTAAAGTTAAATGTCATATTTTTTTAAAGTCCCTCTTATCTATTTATTGATTGGCACTGTGCTGAGAATTTGGTAGGGGAAAGAAAACTTCAAAAACATTTAAAAAGGTTTACTGACATAGACAAAGAATAGACTTTGTTATTTTTCAGGTATGTGATTACTTTATTATCACTTTTTACCATTGATTTTTAAAAAACCTGTATACTGGGCTTCCCTGGTGGCGCAGTGGTTGAGAGTCCGCCTGCCGATGCAGGGTACACAGTCCGGGAAGTGCCCCAGTCCGGGAAGATCCCACATACTGCGGAGCGGCTAGGCCCATGAGCCATGGCCGCTAAGCCTGCGCGTCCGGAGCCTGTGCTCCGCGACAGGAGAGGCCACAAGAGTGAGAGGCCCGCGTACCGCAAAAAAATAAATCAATAAAAAAAAATAAAAACCTGTATACTGATAGAAAAATAGAAATTTTGAGGAATTCAGGGTTCTCATTTCCCTCCTTTTCCCCTAAAATTCCTAATACTTAGAAAAAAATCTCATGATATTAAAATGGTTATATGCACAAGCTCATCACTGTAGTAAATATAAAATGTAGTGTATCTGTGAGATCTAGGAATTGACTTCAGATAACTTGAGAAGAAAATTCTAAAATAATTTTTCTTATGACGATTTAATTGGCATTTAAAAATATAAAACCTTGAGTGTACATAGAATATAGAGTTCTAATACAAATTGAGAATAATTTTCGTCTTTTAAGTTAAAGACAACTCTTATTTCAACACATAGGACTTATGACAAGCTTATATATTGAGATAAATATTATCAGAGATGAAATATTTATAAGATGGTACCTGAGGAATACTTGTATATTCTCTATACAATGATGAAGAACCAATTAAAAGGCATTAAAAACAGGCTAGAAAAGCAAATATGAAAGTTTACATTTCTGTAGATAAATCCTATCACAGCATGAACAACACTAATGATTTAGCAGGAAGCACTGATAAGGAAAAGTTGGCTGACCGAATATCAAGGAGAGCAATTAGGACTCAGGAAAACAGGTTTCTAATATTAGCCCTATCAACTAAAATAACTACTGACAGTAGATCAATGGAATTAAAATCACATATACTAGAACTAGATTGGCAGGCTTCAAAGCCCAGCACTGTCATTCACTGCTGGGCAACTTCAAAGTGCATTTTTTAGGTCTTGAAGGTTAGACTCCATCAACTTTAAAATGGATAATAGTAGCCATCCCAGAGCTATTTTGAGCTGAAATAGATAATCCATGTAAGGTGTTTAGTACAATGCCTGGCACATAACAACAGCTTGCCATCACTGCTAGAGCAACCTTGAACAGTCCAACTACCTGGTTGCCAGTTTTCCTCAATGTAAATACAGGTTTGGCTGAGTCATTTCTAATGCCTTTGCCCATCTAAAACTAAAATCTACAATGTAAAAGAATGTATAGGGCCAACTCTATTTCTAAAGAACATACATTAATATCTTTCACTCTAGCATGATTAAGGACATGGTAATTTAAATGCTACAGAAGAATCATGTTTTTAAGTCATCCCTTTGAAATTAGTTATAATGCTACATTTACTAAAGCCAAAGTTTTATGTGTTCTATGCAACCCACAGGAAATCCATGATCTTCCATCGATTATCATGTTTAGCAACTACAGTTCTGAGTACAATGGCAAAACTGTCAAAACCAATATTATCTTAAATGGAAAATGAATGTCATATAATTAACTCTACATGTTTTTAGTAGCCTACTTATGGTTATAATTTTGACTTTTACTGCAGAGTATCTATATATATTAATTTGGTGCCTACAACAATTTCTGAAAAACAAGTCTCAATAGGAATCTCAAGGTACATAATCCTATTTTTTTTAATGGCAAGAACATTTGATATTTCCTATTTAATAAATAGAACAAGTAGAGATAATACAAATTAATCTAAAGAGCTAACAAAATCTCTCTACTGAAATGTTACAATTCAAAATTCAAATGGCAGGCCAACTTTTTTTATTGCTAGAATATTAAGATTCTTTTTTAGTGTGACTCAAATATTAAAAAAAAAATCAGAATTTATCATGGTAACATCAAGATTAAGAAAACATATCCCACATGTTTCTCAGGGACAAACTACTGATACCCACAGACACATTAATTGTGCACCAACCCAAATACTTTAATAGAGATTTTTTTTTTAAAGTATTTGGAGAACTCTTTTTCGTATACTCTTAGAGATACTACTGAGAAATTTTAAAAGCCTTTTTAGTTTAAAAAGCCTTTTTAGGTGTGTGTGATCACTGAAAAGAGGTTATCTAAAAATTTTAAAATGTGTTGCAGATAATAAGATAGCACTGGGGAAAAAAGTTATAGCTCACCTCAATTAGGTACTAGCACGGTAGGCCAAAAGAATAAAATTACATTCGCCTATCAATGTAAATGTTTGGTTATGTTATTTCTTAATATTAAAACAAAACAAAACACACACACACGTGTGTTAAAATCTGACAACTTAAGCTCTCAAACCAGCAAAGTTTACTAGTCAATACTCATTCCTCATTTTTATATTAGTAAAAATGGGATTAATGCTGTGGGAGTTAAAAAAAAAAAGTTTCTTTTAAATTCATAGCTGTGCTACCTTGTTTCATTTCCAGAAACCCTTATCTTTAACAGATCTCCACTTCATACTTGACACAATTTACAATCATTCAAGAAATTTTAGTTTTACCTTGTAACTAGTTCAGCATAAAATAGTTCTGTAAAGTTCACGCCATAAAATTACACTGTGTCCTTACCATCAATATTTAGCTCAAAACAAACGTGGCAGAAGGAGAGTGTTTCTTTGTCTGTTCCCAGTTTACAAACACTGCAGATGTTGTCATCATTCAGATCAATGCTTACAAACTGCTCCTCTTCGTTCATAGTGCCCCTGTTAAGAAACAGAAAAAGAAAGTTACACAATTTCAAGAACTTGCCATTAACGGCAATATTAGGAACTTCTAGGAAGACAGAAGGATGCTGTTCAGGTTATCTAAAGCAACAGCCCCATCAAACAAGCATTGCCATACTTGTACTTCAATATTATACTTTTATTGTGCAAAGACACAAAGCTAGTAAAACTTAAAGCCTAGCCGTAAGTGACACTACGCCTAAGCGCCTTTTTCGGTCTTGTGTTTTATTTAGTTGAGGGGGTCTGACGGAAAGCAGTTTTCGGGTATTCTAGCCCACCCCCATCCCTGAGTAGGTGAAGGATCTTAGCAGCGACACCTATTCAACTACCGGGGTCAACCTACTTAACGCTGTTAAAGGTAGGACGAACGATCTGCTCGGGACATTGCTTTGCTAACTTCATTGTGGGAACCTCAGATGCGTTTCGCTAGCTCGGCGTAGTGAGGTTTCCTATTCGAGATCCGGGGCAGGAAAATGCACATGGAAAAGTGAACACTAGGGAGGGGGCCCGGCCGCTTACAAAGCATCCTCACGGAAGGTCGGGCAGCGGCTCCGCTGTGCGGCCCGGGCACGGCCGGAGGCGGGGTGGCCAAGCAAGGCTGGGGGTCCCGGAGCCCGGCCGGCAGGAGCGCCACGTCCCCTCGCCCCGGGCTTCCTCCCACCCAGGAAGAAGGCGTTCGAGGGCCACGGCAGCTGGTCCATCTGGACTCAGCGCCTCTGGGAGCCGGGTCCCCGGCGTTTGGGGCGCGCGCTTGCCCCTCAGGGTGCCGCGAACCCGTGTCATTCTCTCCGACCGTCCGTCGGGGCAGCCCGCGCGAAGCAGCGCCAGGGGCCGCGGGGCTTAGAGTGCGAAGGCGGGTGGGCCGGGGGGGCGGGGACCGGGGCGCAGGCAGTCGGGGGCAGGGGAGCTGGGGCTTTACCGTCCGGCTTCGCGCGCCGCCGCCGATCCGCGCGGCCCAGGCTCCTCCACTATTGTTTCCGGCCGCAGCGCAGGCGGCCGCAGCGGAGAAGGCTGCCGTGCGCCGGCCCCGCCCCCTCCCGCCGGTGCCATCCCTCGGAGGCTCTGGGGGGGATGGGGGACGGCGCGGCTAATAGCCAAGCCGCGCGCTCTCTCGGCGGCCGCGGGCACCGCAGGTCCCCTGCTGCACCGACGCCGCGGCCTCAACTCGGATTTTCTCTTGATTCCGCGCCTCTTGGCCGGGGTCTCTTACCGTTCTGTGGAAGGTAGCTCCTCGCACGCCCCCTCCTCTAGGCAAGTAGATAGAGGAGCCCGTTACCACCTCCCCCTTCAGGGTAGTGGAAACTACTGCCCCCGGGCGGGGGCCGCAGGGGCGGGGGCAGAAAAGTGACGAGTGGATGGGTGAGAGGGCCAGAGATGCGTGGGTGGAACTTCGTGTGAAATCGGTAGACTGAAGCAAAATAGTATCATTTGATCTTTGAGTTAGGTGCCAGTTGAAGTATTTAATGAGGGAAAAGTTCGTTTTCAAGTTTCATAATTTAGGGATAATCTTAAATACAGAAGCTTATTTTTTACAGATTGTCTTAGAAATGGGGCGCCCCTCCCCTGTAATATGGCGCATTCCTTACACGCCCACGAGGATAATCCCGGAGCCCCACCTCTTACTTTAGGTCCTGCCTCTTTAAAAAGCTGATCTCTTTTTGCCCACTTTGCTTGACATTTTAAACCATTTTTTAAAGGTTATAATTCATGTAACACTTTCACTTACATTTTCTATTGTAATCCTCAAAACAGCCAAAGAAGAGAAACGAAAAGAGTTTTCTTCTTTTGCATCCTAAAAATGACTAACCCAGATTATCTATTGGTTAGAAACAGAGCTGGGACTTGAACCCAAGGCTGCCGACGTAAAATCGCTGCTATTTTCCAGAGCATCATAAACAGCTGTCCTGGTTACACCAACAAAGAGAAAGGGGACTAGGTTGTCAGTCTACATGTAACCGGTGGTAGGAATGGATTCCATAGATCTTGGGAACTTCTAGACCAAATTGACACTTGATATAAACCATCAGTGCCCCAGAAAAGTGGTCTGTGTTTTTGCTACTTGAAGTGTAGGAGATGAACCAGCAACATTGGCCTCACCTGCCTGGTATCTTGTTAGAAACGTAGACTATCGAGTCTCACCCAAGACTTCCTGAATCAGAACCTGTATTTTAACAAGACCCCCCAGGTGATTCCTATGCAGATGAAAGTTTGAGAAGCACTAATTGAAATAGAAAAATCTATGCGTTTTCTACTTGAATTACACATTTTAAGTAAATATGACTAAAATGTCTTACATCTTGGATTCTACCCATCTTTTCAATGAAAGTGCTTTCTAAAATCACTAACAAGGGACTTCCCTGGTGGTCCAGTGGGTAAGACTCTGCTCCTAAAGCAGGGGCCTGGGTTCGATCTCTGGTCAGGGAACTAGATCCCACACGCATGCCACAATGAAGATCCTGTCTGTGTGCTGCGGCTTAACGATTTTCTTGTATCGAACAAGTTCTTTTCATTTCTCAGGGTTATCTCTCTTTCTGTGGCATTTTGCCTTTTTAACTCTCCTTAAACCTTTCACCTTGTTTTTTATTTTTAAATTATTTTTAAAAGCCTACACATTGGGGTTTAACTTACAGAAAAAAATTTTTCCCGTTTTCAAAGTACAGTTGCTGAGTCCACCACCCCAATTAAGATACAGAACATTTCCACGACCCCAGAATTCCCTACGCCCCTTCTCAGTCAAGCCTCCCACCAACATCTGATCTAATTTATATCACTAAAGACAAGTTTTACCTGCTCTAGGACTTTATGTACATGGGAATAAATGGTATGTATTATTTTGTGATTGCTCTCATTCAGCATGTTTTTGAGATTCACAATGATGTTTTGTAATAGTAGTTCCTTTTATTGCTGAATAATATTCCACAGTTTGTTTATCCATTCACATATTGATGAATACTTGAATTGTTTCTAGTTTGGAGACTATTATAAAGCTGCTATGAGTATTAATGTAAAAGTCTCTTTGTGTGTTTATGTTTTCTTTCTCTTAGGTAAATAACTAGGAGTGGAATTGCCGAGTCGTATGTATGGTAAGTGTACACTTACTTTTCATTTTAAAATAAATTGCCAAACTGCTTTCCCATGTGGTTATGCCATTTTACATAGTTAGGACTGTTTTGTTTTCTTGATGATTTGACCCTTTTATCATTGCTGATATTTTTATCTCTGGCAGTATTTCTTCTCCTGAAATCTACTTTATCCGATATCAATATAGCCACTCCTGCTCTCTTATGATTAGTGTTTCCATGTGTTTCTTTTCTCCTCTTTTTATTTTTAACCCCTCTATGTCTTTATATTAATGTGCTGCCTGTTTCTATTAACAGACTATTTTTTCCTCTGCTGGGTACGTCATATTTTCTTGCTTTTTATATGATATGCATTGATTGGTTGCTGAACAATGTAGAAGTGATATTGTTGAGTGTAGTAGGCAGAATAGCTCCCCAAAGATGTTCACACCCTAATCCCTGCATCCTGTGAATATGTATGTAACATAGCAAAAGAGATTTTGCAGATATAATTAAGGTTGTGGACTTTAAGAGGGAGATTATCCTGGATTACTGGGGGGTGATCCCAGTTTAATCACATGAACCCTTAAAAGCAAAGAACTTTCTCCAACTAAAGTCAAGAGATGCAGCAGAAGAGGAAGTCAAAGTGATTAGAAATTTTGAGTTAGCATTGCTCTAGGAGCAAAGACTGGATCCCAGCTGACAGCCAGCAGGGAAATGGGGACTTCGGTCCTAAAACTTGGAGAACTAAATTCAGCCAAAAAACTGAATGGATTTGGAAGTTCATTCCAGTACCTGGTCTACATCTTGATTTTAGCTTTGTGAAATTCTAAATGGAGGATTAGAAATCCATTGTACCTGGACTTCTTACCTACAGAACTGTGAGATAGTAAATGGTATTGTCTTAAGCCATTAAATTTGTGTTAATTTGTTATGGCAGCATTAAAAATCTAATACATTGAGTGTCTAGATTTTTAAAGAGTGTTGGGCTTTATTTGGGAGGCTGTTACTCTAGTAGCCTATTAAACTTTTGTGAGACTCTAGACTATCCTTTTGCTATAAGAATTTCTTGTTCTCTCTTAAGGAGTGGCTTAGGCTGTCTATTGTATGTCACAGGTTTTTAATAAAGTTTCTATACTCTACTTGGAGAAAACTCAAATTATTACTTTCCCTATGAGTTCCAGTAGTTGTTCATATTGTAGTTCCCAAGTAATTCTTTTTTCCCTGGTAATTAATTTTTGCACAGCCTCTTGGAGCTTCACCCTGTACATGCACAGCTTAGTATTCAGGTGAAGACTTAAAGCGTGTTCTGAAACTCTTTCTGTGTATAGCTCTTCCTTTCTAGCATTCCTGATTACAAATTCCAGACATCTTGTACTCCCCAGACTCAATCTTTGTCTCCTCCTCCCAGCTTTGCTTGGATCTCCTCATGTGGACCACGGTTTGAAAGTACCTCCAGGCATAAAACCAGGGCAATTGTAGGGCTCACCTCATTTGTTTCCTTTCTTTCTGGGATGACATGTTTGCTCTGCGTGTGTTTCAGTGTCTGAAAATAGATATTTCATAAATTTTGCCCTGTTTTCTAACTTTGAAGAGCTATTCTGGTACTCCTTACTCCATCCTGGCTAGAATCCCTTGTTATTTTTGTCAGTGGATCCTTCATTCATCAAATAAGAGCTTCTTCCCAGGTCTCTTTGCTTCCAATCTAGTTTTTTTTCAATCCATCTTTCACAGTCCATTATGAAATAAACACAGGTGAACTCCCCTTCTCAAAAACTTGTCATGGCATCTTGCCTTTCTCCTAACAGTAATACATGTATCTATTCAGCATTTAGACAGTTACAATGGGCTTTCCAGTTTACTGTCTCATTTGATAAAACCTAACATTTACTTGGATAGTCAAGGATTTTATTTTTAATTAACTGCAATCCTTTCTAATTTAGTAACTGAGTAAAGTGTGCAAAAATGTGTTACAAACTGTAAGGGGATATATACAAAAATTAGTTATATAATTTGTTCTTGACCTAAAACCGACATTACCTTGACTTCAGGCTTAAATCAGTTAGGAATCCTTTCAGATGAAAGTAACAGGAAACCTGATTAACAGTGTCTGAATCAGGTAAGGTTTTATGTGTTTCACCGAACAAGATCTGAGGAGCCATCTCCCGGCAGTGGTTCATTGGCTCATTATATCAGGACTACCCTCTCTGCATCTATTCTGGCTTTCCCTTTCAAGAGCAGAATGGCTGCCCCACAGTTAAGCAACATATTGTCTTCCAGGCAAGAGGATGGAAATGGAAGATGTAGGGAGAAGTGGGAGGGAAAGCTGCCTCTTTCATTTTTGTGAGGAAGGAAAAGCTTTCCTGAGAGACCCCAGCAGATTTCTGCTTATATCAAATCACTAGAAATTATATGACAACAATGGATTCTAGGGAAGCGAGTATTTAGTTTTTTCAACCTCTATAACAGAGGCAAGGAAAAGAAGTTAGGTATATAAACCAACAATGACTGCTAGAGAGTTTACATAATTTTCTTTTCTGAATATCATTTTTATGTCTGCTTTGGTGCAAA